TCTTTCCCTCAGTCCCCACGAGCAGTGCATCGGTCAGTCCCATCAACTTTACCAAACAATGTCCTTCACCCGCCATTCTCTTCATCCCCCCTGCTATAAACCCATCCAGGCCGTCATCCTGTCCTGCCCACCAACTCGTCCCCCTCCTTCCACTCTTGCATCCCCACTCCTACACAGTCTATCGTCTGAAGCAGCCAGAATGTTTTCGCAAGCACCTCTCATTTCTCACTCTCTGATGGCTTCCCACTGTAACCAGAATAAAATCCAAAGTCCTCACTGTGCCTTTACGAGCCCGTCTTTCTCCAGTGGCCCCTTCCCATTCACTCTGCCCCAACTTTACTGGCCTCTCTGCCTCTAAAACATACCCCACTCACTCAGTCTCAGGGCCTTTGCACTTGCTGTCACTCCTGCTTGGAAATACGTCTCCTTCTCATCAGATGGGTCTCAACCCAAGTCTTGTCATCTCAGGAAGACTTTCCATGACCACCTCTTAGAACAGTCTCACCTCCCACCTGGAGACCTCCCATCGCATTAGCCTGTTTCATCTGCTTCATACCATTTAGCAGGAGCTGGAATTAACTTATTTATTTATTCATTTCTATGTTTAATACTTCCCTCCCCTCACTAGATAGCAAAACTGCTTAAGGGTAGGAATTGAATATGTCATTCTCTGATATAAAACATCTCTCTCCTAAAACAGCTCCCAGCACGTGATAGAGGTTTGATATCTGTCAACCAGCAAATTGACAGCATAGCACGAGGCTCCATAAATTCTCCGGACTCAGGGAGATGAATCCATAGTAGGTATTAAGACGCTGCCTTCATTACAGTTATATTATTTATGTTTTGCACTAGACCAGTTAGGCTCCACATGATCCTTCAGGATGTTTTCAAAGAGAAAGCAGCCGAGAAATTCCTTTTTCTGATCACACAGTGCCTTAAAGCTGCAGGACATGGCTAGTTAGCATCTCCAGATGGACAGCTAGTTACCCCTCTCAAACGGTTTACTTTCATTGGCCCTTCACCCTGGAAAACTCTGGTACCTAACATAGATGTTAAATACACAAACACACACACACACACACGCAGACACGGCTTCTCCACATGTAACTTTAAAGTTGGGAGTGTGTGGGGAGCAATGATCTGAAAGTCTGGTCCAGGGGCCCCAGCATCAGATTCACTGGAGGGGCCTTATTAAAAGTGCAGTCCCTCAGATCCCACCCAGTACTACAGAATCGGCATCCTAGAATTTGACCTCCCCAAGTGATTCTCCTGGCCACCGAGGAGAGAGAGCCCCGGAGAGGCACAGACCCAAGAACACCATGAGAGACCTACGTGCCAGGCCGCCGTGTGACCAGGGCAGCAGCAGAGCGACTGGCAGCAGAAGCACCTCTCTTCCGTCCCTCCGTCCTGTCATCGGCCCTGGTCTTTACTCAAGTCGACGGAGGAGCTTCAGGTGAGACTGCGCATATCCAATTCAGAAAGACCGAGTCAGGGCCTCGCTCACTGTGTCTGCAGTCTCACAGCCCAGCCTGATGCCCAGGTCACAACAGGGCACTGGGTGGAGCCAGCACAGTCCAGACAAGGCAGCCAGGAGGCATCCTGGACCAGGACCTGACGATTCCATGAGCCAACCCTCTGGGACATGGAGGGCAGTGTGGAAGCAGGGGCAGAGGCAGTGGAGCGGGAGAACCTCACACCAGATGGGCTCCTGCAAATCAGGGCATCTCAGACTCACTAATGCATCAGGAAAAAAGAGTGGAAGGCCTTCCTCAGGAGAAGGGACCTGAGGCTGCTGGTCCAAACAAGTCAGGTGATAACAGCGGAGCGAGCACAGACTCGGAGTCCTACAGCAGAGAGCTCACATCACCAGTGGGACCTGAACTTTGAGCCTCAGATTACTCATCTGTAGAATGGGGATAATCATAATATTTACATCAATATATTGTTGGATTAGTGAGATAGTGCGTGTATCTAGGACCAGGCAAATACCAAGCCCACGATTTTAATTCTCTGCCAATTTCATGTCTTCCAGAAAAGGAAGGCACATTGACCAGCCGTTTCTATGAATAAGACGT